CGGGGGCCCCCGCTGCTCCCGCCTGCCTCGTGCCCGGGGGCCCCTGCGGCTCTGGGGTCTCGCCAGCGGGGACGTGCCGCAGCGCCCACCTGCTGCAGGCACCGGTGCACCCGTGAGCGGGGCCCGGTCGTTAATGCAGCGGATAATTGGGGCTGAAACAGCCGCTGCGGAGTCGAGCCCTGAGCTGAGGGAAGCTCAAGGTCCCGGTGCCAGGTCCCCTCCCAGCAAGCGGGGCCGGGGTCATTCCCTTCCCGAGCCCTGCTGCTTCTCACCGATGATCCCATCGGCAGCATCCCCGTTCCCGCACAGGGGAACCGCAGCTCCCTGCCCGGCTGGAGGCCGTGGCGACGCTGGAGGGGATAACCCGCCGCAGCAGACAGGCTGTTGGGGAATGGGTTTCCCATTTCTTTCTTTATTTGAAGTGTCTGGCGCTGCTGGAAAAGAAAGAATTCCTCTGCATGCTGACCCAGAGAAATGAAACACATCTTAAATCTCTTCTTCTCTTTAAACGTGGTGGCGTGTGCGAAGGAAGGAAATGGCCCCCAGCCCCGGGGGTTCCCCAGCCCGCAATGGGAGCTTCTCCCCAGCCCATGACCCCTGAGTCGCAGCTGGGATCGGGATTCCGCTGGCGGGTGAGGGGGCGAGGGGGCAGGATGGGGCGCAGGGAGGAGTAGGGGGTCCAGGCACCCCTGGGGCAGCGGCTGGAGCAGGGGAGCCAGGGCGGAGGGATGGGCATCCCCAGGACCCCTCACCCCGGGTGCTGTCGGGCGGCAGGGCCACCACCGCAGGCAGAGCAGCTGCCGGGGCGATGCCCCCGCGCACAGCCGGCACCGCGGGCAGGCGGGAGGCAGCGGGGGCGTCACGTATGGCTGGCGGTGTCTGAAATGGGTTTTTACAGGCCTGAGTCTCGTCTAACACCAATTTTACGTTGTGGCTGGCAGGGCTTTCCAGCCGCGTGGGTGCTGGCAGCCCCCGAGGTCGGCAGCCCCGTTACGCCGGCAGTCAGGGTTTCGGGGCTGAGGGAGACAGAGCTTCACCTCCCGCGCTGCACTGAGGGCGGATTTACTCTGGGGTTTGGCTGTGCGGCCGGGGGGGGGTGGGATGGGATGTCCCACCTGTGCATGGGGTGGGACGAGGGCGGCTCGTGGACCCCGGTTTTCCCACGTGCCGTAATTCCTCCGCTGAGCGGTGAAGGGGAGCTCTCCCGGCACGGCCCTGCTCCAGCACACACTCTCCCTTCTGCTCCATCCTTCTTCTCTTCCTCCCAGTCCAGGACATGCTCAGCTCCATCTCTCTCCAACCAACTGCCGGACCCGTGTCCCAAGGGGACGAAG